GGTATGGCCCAAGGCTTGATTCTCAGTCCAACCTTCTTTCTACTCTGCATAAATGATCTGCCTAAGAATATACACTGATCATTTGGGAATATTTATGCTGATGACAAAACGGTTTATAGATGCAGCTCCAAAACTCTAGATGACCAGAGCTTGAGAGCTGATCTCACCATTGACTTTAGCAGCTCAGTAAGAGAAAAACTGATTGATACCTTGAAAACCAAATTAGGGATATTCCCTCATCGTGTAGACCCTGTATTTTCACCAATTGCAATGAAAGTGGAATTCTCTCAGAAGCCTTGCACATCCATTGGTATTTAAACTCACCTCTGACCTGAAGTAACTTGTACATACAATCCATTACTAAAGATATTGAAAAAATGATCAGTTCCCTGTACTGCCACTAAGTAACTCACGTCTCATATATATATATATATATATATATATATGTGTGGAGAGAGAGAGCTGCCAAGTTTTTACTTTCCACTCTTGATAGAGTTCAAAATCATCTCTGAATCCTTGTAGGTGATGAATTATTTTCCGTCCTACAGTTCCTTTCCTACAGACAAAACATAACACTTTCTGTGGTCCATATAACATCAGGACAACCTACAAAAGCTTGATGACACTTCAGATATCTCTCGAGTTAGACCCTCTATAGAGAAGAACATGACTAAAGACTGTGTGTACGCTATCTCATGCAGCTGCAGAAAGAAATATAAAGGGGAGACAGGCTTCCCCCTTAAAGTAAAGCTTCAAGAACACCAGTAAGCTGTACCATGAGGGGAAGTGGAAAAATCAGGCGTGGCTGACCACATATGAAGAGAGAAGGGAGATCACCACACTCTGTGGGATCAAATTGGAATCATAGACAAAGAACACCATTGGAAAATTCATAAACTTAAGGAATCAGCACATATGCTAGGCCACAAAAATCTCCTGAGCTGACCAAGCATAGAAATGAATACAATATGGGAACCAGTAATAAGAAGTACCGGAGAAAAGCAATGATAGCAAAAATTGCAATATGAGCTCTGGTAAAAACATGCAATGATAACAGCAAAAATTTCAATATGAGCACTGATAAAAAATGGTTGCTGAAGACATTAGGTTTATAATACCCAGAAATTCATATACAGATGTCTTCAAGGACACAGTGGATAAAGGCGTTAGTTAGATCCAGTGACAGGACCCAAAGAGTGTGAGCTCAATACCCAGTTAAGGTAGTGGAGAACTTTCAGAGAGAAATTAACAGGAGATAACTGATAATTGACATCCATGGCATGTGGAACTAGAGCAGTCTACCCCAGTGAGTGAAATAAATTTAATATATATATATATATATATATATATAGTGAACATCTTTCGAGATATATATATATATTAGTGAACATCTTTCGAGATATATATATATATTAGTGAACATCTTTCGAGATATATATATATAGTGAACATCTTTCGAGATATATATATATATTAGTGAACATCTTTCGAGATATATATATATATATATATATATATATAGTGAACATCTTTTATATAAAGAGATTATATATATATATATAGTGAACATCTTTTTGAGATTATATATATATAGTGAACATCTTTTGAGATTATATATATATATATATATGAACATCTTTTGAGATTATATATATATATAGTGAACATCTTTTGAGATTATATATATATATATATATATATATATATATAGTGAACATCTTTTGAGATTATATATATATATATATATAGTGAACATCTTTCGAGATATATATATAGTGAACATCTTTTGAGATTATATATATATATATAGTATATAGAACATCTTTTGAGATTATATATATATATATATATAGAACATCTTTTGAGATTATATATATATATATATAGTGAACATCTTTTGAGATATATATATATATATATATATATGAACATCTTTTGAGATTATATATATATATATTATATATATATATATATATAGTGAACATCTTTTGAGATTATATATATATATATATAGTGAACATCTTTTGAGATTATATATATATATATATAGTGAACATCTTTTGAGATTATATATATATATATATATATATATATATATATATCACTAAGAGCCACTAGAGGGGAGGTAGAGGGTTACTGAGTAAGAGTAAGATGGACTGTCATTTTTAACATATGAGTGTCTCTCTGTTCAGTTTTTAATACTGTACCTGTTCTCATTGCCTTAACTCTTGCCAGTGGACTTGTTGCTCAGGTGGAATAGCAAAGAAGGAACATAACTGAACTGCAGACTATCTACACAAAAGATTTGTTTAGAGTGGTGAAGGCTTGTGTAGAACCAGCTTCACTTATTGGAAGTGCAAATATTTACAATGAACACCACCCCTCAGGTTTTATTATTACGGAGTTATACCTCTCCGGTACTACCAGTGCACAGAAGAGTGCAGCGCCTTTTGATGGTAATTTCATATGATTTAGCCTGCCTGCTGAAGCAGTTTACAGGGTTTGGCATGTGGAGTTTTATGGGATGGGTGAAGACCAGTGTTGCCCGTTCATCTTAATAATAAGAGCAGCAGCCGAGTAACAAAAGGTACTACTTCCAACCACTGCCACCTATACACATAGAACATACACTGGATGTGGGAGCAAATAGTTTGTCATCAATGTTCAATATATTGCTACAAGGTATAAATTATTATAAAGTATAAGAGAAAATTCTATTATCATTGTTTAAAAAAATTGAAAAGGTAAATAATAAAACAAATTGACTACTAGTAAAAAAAACAAACTGGTTATAACTGGGACTGCATTTTCAATAAAATTGAAATTACATTAGTTTGCAATTAATAAATAGGAAAATGTAAAGAATTAAAATTTATACTAAATGTTGTAAAAGAATCTTTGAATATAACTAATAACAGATCTTAAAAAAACAGCAATAATGAGCCACTAGTCAAAGATAATGAGCCACTAGTGGCAATAATGAGCCACTAGTCAAAGATAATGAACCACTAGTGGCAATAATGAAACCACTAGTCAAAAGATAATAAAATAGTGGCAATAATGAGCCACTAGTCAATAAACAAAATAAACATTACTAAAATACAATTCTGAAAAAAAAAAAAAAAAAAAAAAAAAACTGAAATAAATGTCACACTTAGATATAAATAGATTAAAATTATTCATGCCACTATATAATTAGTCTAACAAATACAATACATTAAATGTTAATATATAACTCTTAGCAAGAAATTTCACTTGCGAAACAATTGTTTCGAAAATAAAAAAGATAGAAAAAAAATAAAAAGGGTATACACAGACTAAAGATAGACAAACAAAAAAAACTATAAAATACGTATATTAAACACTGTAAATGAATAACATAACTAAATATAATAAAAAAGAAAAATATAATAATGTATGATTAAAATAAAAACAATCCAGTTTACATTGCGCAGATCACTACGAAAATTTCAGTGATTGTGTGAAAATTTTGTGTGAATTGATTGGACGGTTTTTGAAATATAAAAAAAAAAGTAATAACTTGGCATGCAGTGTGTGTGTGTATATATATATATATACACACACACACACACACACATATATATACACACACACTGCTTATTAATATTTTTCCTTTAAAGTTGATTCAGCAAGGATGTGACTATTTTAATTGTTTTTATTGTATTTGTTTATATATATTGATTGTTTCTGTTCTGAGGAGTTCCTTCATTGTTATTACTTTTATTGCATTTCAACCATTGTATTTTATGACCTTCCTAAAGGTAATCTCTTGTGTTCAATAACTTTCCAAGAATTCTGAATAAAACCCATTTTTTTAATTCATGGTTTTTATGCCTTCTTAATGAATTTCCAAATTGTCAAAAGGTCTTTCATATTGATGTCAAACTTCCTTTCTACTGAACCAGGGTATATTTCTTCACTACCTAACCTGGAGATTGAACTCATGAATCCGAGATGAACTTTACCAGTACGTTTTACCCATTGAACCATATCCAGTTCTCAATGTCTGCTCCACCAGTGTCTTTCATGTTCAGTTCAATGACCCCCCCTCCTTGGTGCTTTTATCCACCAGGATACTTAAACAGGAAGCATAGTAGATGATGCAGAGAAGATTGTCAGTGCAAAAAGCTATAAAGGATTCCAATGAGCATTCCCTAAAGGTTGCAGCATCCAACAGGCACCATACAAAGGCTGGAAAATACACTGATCAAAATATTTTGTGCTAACAATAACAAAGAGGAAGAAAAGGGTCCAAAAGAATCATTGGATAAATAATAAAATCACCTCATCCCATAGAGCCTAACAGAAATTGTTTATTACTTCTTTTTCTACCGACTGCTGTAGAAATCACACCATAAAAGCAATTGAAATTTATGGCTGTAGTATTTTGATACATGCACTGACAGAAACAGAGTCTTGCTGATATGACATTAAAAGTAGAATGGCTGAATAAAATTACCAAACAATAATAAATATTTAGTAGTGATAGAAAAAGCTATTCATGGTCATCCTTCTCTCTCTCTCCCAGTCTGTAATGCAATTGTGAGAGCTCAATGAAGACTGTTGCTAGGACACAAAGATCAGTGTATATGAAGTGCTCTTTTATTCTAATCATGTAGCAGATTGAACAATATCTTGATAGATATTTTAGTATTGATCTATTTGGATAGATATTTTCATTTTGTTTTCTGTTGGTATAACTAATTAACGTACCTGACAGGAATTTTAATTATTCCGAGTCCAAGAAATAATTTCATTATAAAAGGTGAGGAAGTTTGGCCGTCAGGAAATGTGGGATATCAATTAAGACCCTTACTGGTCGATCAAATGAAGAGAAAAATTTTAAAAAGGCACTCATTTTGTGAACAATTTTTTTTCTTTTCTTTATGATTGTTGTTGAAGATTTTTTTCTTGTTTGCAATTTTAGAATTTCTAATTTTCCTTCATTTTTTTTTTTTTTTTTAAATTTTTTATTTTAGACCATTTCTGATTTACAAAGCACCATTTACCAACTGAGAGAAGATATGAAAAAGTAAGTTGAAAGAATCTCTTGTAGAGATCATTTTTTCTTTTGATGGACATGTGCCAATGAATGAAGACAAATTGGTGCTTTACAGCATCTGTTTCTTTTTTCAACTTTTTCTGTTACTTTTTTTCTTTATTTTTTTTAAATTCCCTACTTCTACAGAAAAAGTTCAGCCAGATTACATTCCTTAGTTCCACCAGTTCTAACCCTCATGGCAAAGACCCACTATGCCAGGGCCATTGTAGCAAACTATTCTCATTCCCTGCATGTTTTATTGGTGAGAAGTTCCACTCAAACAGCCTCTGCCTGCAAATCACTGCTTTGTGAAGTCGACATTCACTGCTCAGTGATTACTACCATGGAAAGTGCTCAGATGAACTACATTCCTTAGTTCCACACAGTTCTAACCATCACGGCTAAGACCTGCCATGTAGCCAACCCCACCCTCATTCTGTTTATATTCTATTGGTTAAATGTAAGTTCCACTTACGCAGCTTGTCTTTCATGAACTGCTACTTTGTGGAACCAACTACCATGAGGTTATAATCGCTACAATCTTAACCTGTTCAAGTCAAGGGTCAACCATTATCTCCTCTATATATCTCCATAAACTGGACCTCTTACTCTGTAACCCTCCGCCTTGAGTGGCTCCCTGGCCTTGTAGACGGTGAACATCACTGTAAAAAAAAAAAAAAAAAAAAAAATTCCTTACTGATTCACTGGTAAGATTAATATTAAAACAAATGATCTAACCTATCTAAATACAAGATAGGGTAATGAGCTGGGAGTACTGAATCAAGGAACTGGGTTTAAATTCTAGCCAAGATGTTCACTTTGTACGAATGCTCTTGGGAAAAGGCATGAACATCACTCTCTCACCACTCTTTTTACCCTTGCCATTGATATGCCTTGATAGTTGACAGAAGAGAGTGGGTACAGAAGAACCTGATTAAATCACTCTCCCATAATTATCTTACTTACCCAGAAACCACCAGTAATCCAGCCTCTGTATTAATCTTCATAGGATCATAAAATCTGTTGGCTTCTCATGCCAACAGTAATGAATGAAGGCTCAACAAAATCACAATACAGCATATGTAACTTTAAACACTGATACATCATTCATATTTTCCTAGAATAAAGACATGTGCATGCCTCATAATTTACTGCTACATCAGGAATTTTGCAATACCATAAAAGACCTGCTTGACTTCAATATCAGAAAACACGATGACAATCAGGTTTGTGTCATGCCTTTGCTTCAAAACATTGTGCCATTCTACTGCCATTTCAGCAATAGAAGGTAGTGTTTCAGTAGGATAATGCCTGCCTATATGATGCCCATATTACTCAACATACTCTACCTCTGACCAGCACAATTACCAGAGCTGTTCCCAATTGAAAATGTAGGGGAATTGATGAGAATGCCAGACTTGTCCATTTGCAAATCACCATATTTCATCAACAGGTGAAAGAAGTGTAATAATATATTGTAGGATGGTATTCACAATCTGTATGGTCACTTATATGAGAGACTACGGGCAGGTGTTAATCCCTAAGGAGGATATGCAGTGTATTAATATGAAGTCAAAGTATGTCTTTATAATGCTTTATTTTTTAGCAAAAATATATTTTTAACATAACAAGCTGATTTGTATATATGATCATTTATTGTAATCCTGCTGTTTTTGTGGGTTTTTCTTGTCTCTGGAGGGTCAGTCAGATGGGCTCTCTGACAAAGTGTGGCAGTTAGGGTGTCACATCCTGGAGTGACACTTAGCTGAAATATTTATAATACGGCAACATTTTGTTTTAACAAATTGACTCAAATTTGCCTTGAAAAGAAAAATTAAAGCTTACACAGTTAACCCAAAGTAGAGGCAATAAAATAAATTCTTTTTTCTCTTTTAATCGAGTTCACCCCAAGCAAGGCAATAAAGCCACTAAGATGAGGGGTTAATGGGTGTGAAAGAATTACAAACAAACATTACCAATTAGCAGGAAGAGAAAAGGTGTAATCAGGAGGACATTAGATAGCGATTGACATTACATTTAAATTTTTACAGATTAAAGTTGGCTGGAAATTATGGAGCTGGAAGGGAGTACCACAAGCAAGAAAAGAATTGTTAGCATAGAAATTATGGTTACATCTAAGCCAACCCAACTGTAAATTGATGAGAGCACATTGCTAGTCTAGAACTGTGCCTAAATTCATGAAGTTTAAGGATCATGGCAAACAATTCATCAGAACAATTACCATGAAAGTATTTATAGAAAAAGGCACAGGGAGGCAATCTTATGGCAGAGTAGGAAAGTGATGATTTATAGAGAGCTTTTGAACTTAGTATGAAAGTTGATGTCCTTTCATATCGTTTCCAGTCTGGCCATTGCTGCTGTGTTGATCCTTTGCAGATTTCTACATTACAGGTGTCATCTTTTGACAGGGTTGCTTCCAAATATTTGAAGTTGAACATTTTCTACCAGTGGTTCACTGTCCATGGTGATGCTGGCAAAGATGTTGCTTGTGCTATGTACCATCAATTTGGATTTCTCTATGTTGAGTTCCATTTCACATGTACCCGCTCTATCATTGGTCAGGTCTTGCAGCTCACCGTTACTCAGTTTGCAGCTCAATATCATTCTGCAAAATGCAGGTTGCAATCAGGGGGGTCTACTTCTGATAGAGATAAAAGTGTTTTCATTGTGGGTTAGGGTCTCCTGCATAATTCTCCCCAGAAACAGGTTAAAGAGTGTTGGAGAGAGTAGGAATCATTATTTACATAGAGGATAATATCCTCATCTTTGCTATTATTATCCCAACATTTTGGCTTTTGTGTCCACCAGTTTTCTTCAGACATTGATTGTGCAATCTGGGCAACCTTCAGAGAACTCAGCTATTTATTTCATCTGTGCAAATAGATTGTCCATGTTTAGGATTATCTTGTCCTGTTTGTTTTTTAGTACTGCACAGTTATGGTTTCCAGCAAGTCTAAGACCATACTACCCAGCCCAGAGATTGAACTTACTATTTCTATGCTATCAAATTCATAAAGCAATACTTTAACCCACTAGGCTATTGTTCAAAACCATATACTCAAAGACAGTAATTGACAAAGTCCAGAGTTGAATATATATATATATATATATATATATATATATATATATATATATATATATATATATATATATATATATGATTACATGTGAGAGATTTAGTCTCTTGTTTTTTATTAGTCCATACAGCGATAACATTACACTAGCAGACTGTAAATGCCACTTTCAGTGACATTTATTTGCAACTGAGCTATTGTGAAGCCATTCACATGGAGATTGTTGATAAAGATTCATCGTTATTTTATTGTTACTGATTACAGGCAACGGGAGACACTCGAGCAAAAATTAACTGCACATCACAGCAACCACGAACAAGAAGTGAAACTGATCCGAAGACAGAACACCAGTGCTCTCCTGGTATGTTACCAAGATATTTGCCAATATTGCTTTTGTCATTTGCAGACATGGGATAATATTATCACTAAGAACTCCTAAGATGGCAAAGTATTGTATTTTTAGTAAAAATAACAACAGGGTCAAATCAATATTTTCTTTAGATTCAGGAGACAAACAACTTTGCTATTTTTTTTCTTCTCGGAGAAAGAGAATTATTTTGGTATTTTTGCAATCTACCTAATTTCTTATGTTAGTGTCATATCTTGGCAGAAATAGTGGTTGGCAAAATAGAGATACTATAAAATTATAATTTTTGTCTTAAAAAAAAAAAAAAAAAATACATTTGTATATTTGTTTGCTTAAATGGATTTAAATACAAACTCAATTTAACAGGCCATTTCTTTACAGACTGGTTTGAAAAGATCAGGATTAGATCCAAATTGTAAGGTTCTTGAAGACAAGAAATCCTGCTGATTGTTTTGTCTTTAAAATAATTGTAAAAAGTTTCATTTTAGAATTACATATAATTGCGATGAAACAAACTTGTACCATCTCTAAAAGTCTAGATGACCAGGACCTGGCAGTCGGACTGAGCTTAGCTCTTAGCAGCTCAATCAGAGAAAAACTGACTTGTAACATTCAATGCCTTGAAACCAAGCTAGTAACATGAGAAGACCCTGAATTTTGCTTTCATGATGAACGGTTGTACTCTCAAATGAGACACCCTTGCCTTGAGCATCTATGAGGACTGAAGCTTACTTGAGACCACAAGTGGTACTCATATGATCCATCACTAAAGAGGTGGGAAAATGGTTATACTGCTTCAAAAAGTGTCTGGCTCCTCCTGCCATGCTCTATCATTACAAGAGCCACAACAGACCCAGAAAAGACATGGCTGCTATACCTTAGATAGAGATGCCAAATCCTCTTTCCGGTGTTGACAGGGTTCAAAAGTGATTACGCGGTCTTGTGGGTGATGAATTATCTCCTACCCTACAACCCCTTTTGCACAGACAAAACATCACTAGCCTCTCATTATTATTGCCATTTCCATATCAAATGAAATGAGCATTCCATTCCTTAGTTCCACCAGTTCAGACCTTCACAGCTAGGACCTGTCATGCCAAGTACAGAGTGTCGAATCATCCAAATTCCATTAATGAGAAGGAAGTTCTTAAGAACTGTTACTTGGTAGAAAAACTCCTGAGAGGATGTTTCCCCAATCACTACAATCTTAACCTCTCCAAGTCTAGAGTTATCCAGCATCTATTCTATATATCTATATATCCTATTTCTCTAGAAAACCTTCTACATTAAGTGGCTCTTGAGATTGTATTGAGTGAACAATAGTATTTCTATTATTATTTTAAGATAATATATTCTTACTTCAATGTTTTAAATATACTGAAGACAATATCCTCTTTTCAGGATATATTTGAGCTGATATCATCAACTGTAGAGAACTGTAATGTTAATCAGAAAAAAAAAAATGCAGTGGCAACTTAATCCTTTTATAGTACTCTTTGTAAAATCTCCTTTATCACAGCACCACCCACTTTTCAAAGGTATCTGGAAACTTCACTTTTTGAGTTGCCATCAGGTGTCTTCTTACATTCTCCTTAATCTTGTCCAACATTTTGACAGCAATTTTTACTCTTGGAGAAAAAAAAAAAAAAAAAAAAAAAAAAATCAGTAATTACAGAGAGATGACAGACTTTAGATGAGGCAATGTTTTGCTTAACAAAACATCAAAACATGAGAAATCTACTCAAAATCATTGTAAATGTGACATTCACACATTACACAAGCTCAGTCAGTGGTGTTTCACTATTGACCGAGCAACCCGACAGGAGAGTCTTTCACAGATATGAATTAATGTCTTTTGGAAGAATTTGGGGAGAGCAAAGAAATCTTATCTTTAATCTTATATCAGTCTTATAATTTCTTTAATGTTGTAGCACAAAATTCAGCTTCCTGAATATTTGTACTGGATTGAACAATAGTGACAGAAACATGGAGTAATGGATAACAGCTTGAATTTAGGAACCACAGAGGCGAGTTCAAATTCCGGTCAAGTTCATTACATTCACTTATGTGTTCATACCCTTGGGAAAGGTATGAATCCAGTTCGTTGTCCCCAGCTATGGGTAAATAGCAGGACAGATGGATTCCTAATGTAGCAACCAGTCTAGGAGAAGGAAAACTGAATTCAAGTCAGCCTGGAGATGGTTGGGCTCTCTTGCCCTAAGACACATCACTATTGGTATAGATATGGTGCCTCTACAATCCTAAGAGTCGTCAAACAGTAGTCAGTTCTTTCAATTAAGAACAGAAATTTCCATGACAAACTCATATAGCTTGACAGTGTTATCATTTATCAGGAAAAATGTCCCTAGCACAACTGTTGTGGAATTAAAATATATTGTAACCATTCTCCAATATTCTCAGATTTTATGTGTTTTATCAATTTATAGCAATAAAACAGCTTATTCCCAAGTGTCAAATAATAACAAATAGGAAAATTCAATACTAAATAGTTTGTAACAAATGATTGAATATCAGGAAATAACATTCAGCTTGACAGATTTCTGTTTCATAAATTCTAAGATATATTTGTATTGGAAATGGTGAAACAAGACAGTGACTGAAGGCAGAGGAAATGACCTTCAAATGTTGGAAAATTATTTTGTTTTAATGAATCCCAAAAGTTAAAAAATTCCTTTATTTTCAAGTTATATTCACTAAACAATTCTTTTGGTTGATTTTTTTTTTGTCAGGCTTTACAACAAGAGTATGACAATGAACACAGAAAAGTGCGGACACTAGGAAGACAACTGGAAGAAGAAACAGCCAATTATGAGGAGAAGGTGAAATTTCTGAGATTTGATTGTTAAAATGGAGGAACATGGAGAAATACTTAAAACAACAAAAAAAAAAAAAAAAAAAAAAAAAAATTAAAGATTGAAAAAAATAAAGTGTCAAAATTATATTGAATAACAAAATTAACAGAACTGTAAATGATCATATATATATATATATATATGATGGCATGTTGAAAAGAACTCAGCATGTTCCACTTCCTAGTCTGTTCAATTAGTTCATTAAAACTTTTAGCCCCACATCATATATAACGTCATCAATTCTCATAGGAGATTTGATGATAAACTGGTTTTATTTTCAGAAATCATTTTTCTAGAAATGACATTCAACAACAAAATGAACAATAATATTTATTATTATTAATGCTGCATCTATAGTTTGGCATAAACACTGCTTCCCTTACATAAATTATCTTCCAGAATTATCTTGCTCAACCAATTTTTAGAAATACAATGTGTTATTATTGCTATATACTGTAAATTGCAGTGTACAAGTTGATCTCAAGATTTTAGCTCAACATTATGAGTTAGGTCTATACCTATCATATTGGTCAACCTTGAAACATTCATTAGGCTACCAATGGCCTAAAATTTAGTTCCACCAGTAAATGGAGTTAAACTATAGTATACGATAACCTGTGCCAAAATTACACAAGATTAAACCACTTAGCTGTATACTGAGATACTAATCGTAATATCTTTCCATATGCATTGTATAGCAAAAAACCTACAACATGCACTTGTAGGTACCGGGTATTGTATTGGTATAACTTAGTAACACAATGTAATTAAATGTTCACAGTCTTATTACTTCATATCAATTTTTATTGTTATATTCTCTGTTGTCTCTGGGTCCCCACCGCTACTGTATAAAATATTATCAATGAAAAGAACCATTTGTCTTTCCTCATTCATTTTATAAGAAGAAGAGTGTTGGCAACTTGGCTTCTAAGAGGTTGTAGGACGTCACAGGAATGTATGTCACACATTGGCTCAGCACCTGCCTTTGGGTGGTCTTAGTTGGTCTTAACCTGAGTGTAGAAGGAATATCAACACTTCAGAATTCTTGAGACCCTCTGTTAAATTTGTGCCATTTGGGACTTTATTAAAAAAAAAGCAGACACATGCAATCTATCACTGTCTCAATAACATGCCCATGAGGCACTCTGGCCAATCGCTGACCATTCTGGCCCTAGCATTCACATTATAAACACTGTGTTAATATGCCAAATATGTTCAGCAAACAAGTTTTGGTGAGATATATTTGTGGCAGCCTCTTGCTGGTGTGGTAAGTGGTGGACAGTCATTGTTAACAGTGATGTTCCACTTGTTTACAACTCAGTGGGTAAAAGTTTGCATTTTGTACCAAAAATGTCAACATGTTTGGTATAAAATGCAAACTTTAACCCAGCTGAATGTTAGAAATAGAATATATATATATATATATATATATATATATATATATATATATATATATATAAACACCCCTAAACTTGTTGAGTATTTGTTAAAAGCAGTTCATAATACAAAATGATGAGGTAACAGTATTATCAATTTCATTATTAATTACACATTTTAATTTTTATTTAAAGATGGTAAAAAGATTTGTTTCACAGATTCATAATCCACACATTGTATGAAAAATTTGGAGTTATAGTTTAAAACATGTAGTCTTTTTCAAAATAAGTATATTTTGTTTTTTATTATACATACTTGTTTCTAGCTGACATTTATTTCAAAATGCATAACACAACATGAATATTTATTTACCATCAAGTCATGTGACACACACAGCCTCTTCACCTTTCAAGTAGTTCATAAAAAGGTTCTAATGTAGTGAATTGTATAAATATATATTTTGTTATGTATATTAAAATTTATTTAACAATGTTGTTATAATGTATTATGAATGTTTTATTTTTCACACACTTGGAATTGTTGGAATCTCATATACGAGTGTTTGTTTATAGACACAGATTGATATAAGAATGTATTGAAAGCAAATACTGAATTTCCTATTAAAAACGCTGCAGAAACAAAAAAAAAAAAAAAAAAAAAAAATGGCCCTAGCCCTGGTTTAATTTTAATTAAATTTGGTACTGCACTCAGCAGGGGTTCAAGGTAATATTTGCTCTTAAATTAGTTGAGATATTATGTATCGTTTTAGCTGTATCTCAGGAACAAACATTCAAACAAGATTAGAGATTTAGTATTTTTATATATATATATATATATATATATATATATATATCAAATGAAGTAATACAGATTTAAGGTATGCTATATTTATGGGATAAAGTGCTTAATATCAGATAGAGCTTATGTAAATATAAAATTGAACATTGAAGTCAACACTTGGAGACGATAGAAACATCATGAAACAGTGTCACTTATGAGTGTTGAATTTAATATTCATTTGTATGTGCACACATGTAAAAATTCAGATATAACTAAATATGAATAAAAACAAAAGGAAAACTAATTTTAGCCAACATGTTTCAGCCTCTGATGGACTTCATCAGGGCAAATGTAAGAATTTTATTTTCCATATATATTTATAAACAAATGCAAAAATGTTCTTCGTTTTTAATTTTGTTTATTAAATACCTGTTGCAAAATAAAATCCTTCCATTTGACTTTTGATGAAATTCATCAGAGGACGAGAAACTCATATGTTAAGTTTTTCTATTATCTTTATTCATAATTACATGTTAAATCTAATTAAGTACATCAAGACAAACCCGTATGTGATAAATGGTGCACTGACAGATGGGAATTTGAAGTCTGGGTCAATGCAAGCTCCCTTGACAGTAGGGTCCCTTGAGTTCAATGGAATAGTCATAGAAGATGCATGTTGGTTGTGTCCAAAGAAGGATATGCAACATATCAACCTGACAGAATTGGATACCATCATTAAAGGGGTAACCATGGCCCTTCAATGGAAGGGAACAGTGTTGCATTTGTTTACAGATTCCGCATGTGTGCATAAGTGGATATTAGACACTCATGGGGAAGGATAGGATACATGCAAAGGCTGCAAGTGAAATTCTCATACAAAGGTGGCTAGACTGATTAGGAAACTTGGTAAATGAAGACAACTTATCAGTGGATACAGAGCTGATCAGATTAAGCCAGAAAAAGGAAGATAGATTAACAAAGGTGCCTCAGAGATGGCTCGACACTATTAAGAAAGAGTGAGAGCCAGTGGGATATGTCCGTGCAATATCAGCGACCGACTGTAACATGGATCTACTAAAATTGGTGTATACATCCTGGTATAAAACAGACCCTGTATTTCAGGAGGTGGATTGATCTTACCATATCCAAAATTGCTGTCAAAGTGGTGGTCAGAGAATGTGGAGGAGTGACAGTCCATGGAAATCATTATCTAACTGATTGTCTGCATGAAGAGAATTGCTGCCAGGAAGCTGTGTTCTGTAATGGAAGAAGTTATATTGGACCTCAATGTCACTCATTGGCAAAGATGATTCCGTGATACCCTTTAACTTTTTTGGATTCAACCAACATCAGATTTACTGGTATAAATCCCATCTAAAGGCATTGATGCAATGCCATCAATGCAGTAAAAGAATGGACTGCCATACAAACTTCTGACAGCCATGTGTATTGGTAGAATGTCACAGCCGGATGTGATACCCTCAACTACCAGGTGTACTGGTATATCACTGGAATCGATGCAATCACATACTAAAGAATGGTTGATGGAATGCCAAGATACATAAGACTTTCGTCCCTGTGTAGGTTTGGACACTTTGACAAGTGACACCAGCAGTGAGTTCTCAGGAAGTGAAAGGATAGTCACCATTGGAGGTAGGACCAGTACTTCTTCATACGGGGGAAGACACCGTGCATGAGTTTATTAAACCAGAGGACTAAGTATCAGAAGAACTATGCTAATGTTCTTTCCTCCTTGACTGGCATGGCCAATCAGAACTGCCTACTGAATGAAAGCCATTGCTTTGATTAACAAGGGGAGAACAATTTTGGAGCTTGATAAGTGAAAATACATTTCCTCTGTTGCGAGTGAGGTTGGATTTTTGGCCCCCTTTTTGGTAGTAATTTGTCTGCTGGACTGTTTACGACCACAAAGTTGTGATTGAACTTATTGTTGGCACACAAATTTTTTTTTTTTTTTTTTTTTACTGACTGCATTGGTTAACCCTCTAAGAAATATAAGAACAAATCTTTTATTCATTTCATAACTTTCTTCCACCTTTTGCCATTTGCTCTGCTTACAGAAAATAAAAAGTTACATATTAAAAGGAAAAAAAAAGAAAACATTCATTTTTGTTTGAAATTGTTTAAGTACATTAAAAACAATTAAGTAACATTAAAATTAAAATATAGTAATTAAAGAAATGTTCTTGCATTGTTTTCAATAAAACTCGATGATTTTAAAGTGCATTTTGAGGACAACAGCCAAAAGAGGATATTGTTTCTTCTCTTTCACATCTCAGCTGATATGCATGAAATGATGTTCAAAATAGTATAAATTATTTACATTAGTTTGTGATGTTTGTATAAACATAAATTGCTTTGGCCACAAATTAAAAATAAAACAGGATTTTGTCTTAGGAACAGAAAATAGAAGAAACTAAATTAGTAAATCACTTGAATAAAATGTCCTCAGCTTTCATCATCAACCTGAGTATTTTTTTCCATTGCAGATGACCCAAATCCGCCTTCAGTATGAAGATAAAATAAAAGGCCTGATGCCATCATCTGTACATCAGGTAAGCTGGCATGATCTTTTTAAATATTATACCTGTATTAAATTAAATAATTCTAAGAGGCTCCAGATTTCCAGCAACAACAAAAATCAGTAGCACATGTAATTAGAAGAGGAAAATAAGATAAACAAGGTGTTAACTTTCCACATGACCTCAAACAAAAGACTTGGAAGGAAAGCCTCATCAATTGCAGATAGATGAATGATAGTGAACTTAGGTCTAATTTCCTGAAAAAGATTTTATAAATTTCAACCAACAGTAATGCTAAATGTTTGGTCAATGAATGCCAAATGTTTCCTGTATGGAAACGGCTATTCTCACCATTACTTCTCCAAATTCAGATTAATTCTCTATATAATTTTTTTCTTTGTTTAGGTTTTATAAATTTTAAGTAATTGATTAAAAGGGGACTAATAAATATTAAAATTTGGTAAATTCTCCTGGCTTGGATATATACCTAATTCAATAAATGTTATTCAATAAAATACTAAACTACTGGAATCCAAGTGCATATTTGATAACTGAAGAATTATCAAGTGTCCTCTTCTCTTAGGTAAGAGGGGAAGGGTCAGAATTTTTCTCAGTAAGCAGGGGGGGGGGAGTGTTCTTCATAAAAGAAGGGGTAAAATTTTCATACAGAAAAAGATAGATGCCTCTACCCCAACTATCAGGTCCCCAAAATTGTGATTGCATACGAATAAAATTAATACAGATCTCTAATGAAGATAATGGACTGTCTTCATTACGTTTCTGCATAAAATTATTCACATCTACACTGAGTACACATTATTCTCATCAACTGCCTGGTTTTCTGTGATATTTTGATGTTGTCAATTTTTTCAACAACTGCAGCTTCACAATCTTCAGTTGCATTAATACACTATAAGTTATTGATACATACAAATCCTTCATCATTTTTAACACATTCCATGTTTATGCAATTGTACATTCCCAGTCAAGGCCAGATATGATTAGATATTTTTGGTAAAAGTCAAACTAATGCATGTATACATGATTTCAGTATAAGGTGTCACTTTCTGTGAGAGCACAAAGTCACAAGCCATCATGACTGAGGGTTTGATTGCAGTGGCCTTGTTAAACAAAACCCTTGAACATGCCAGATAATATGTTCTCTCCCAGAAACTGTAACTAAGGTCTGCTCAGCATAGTTGTCGTATCAACCACAGGTCAGTTCTGTGGATGGTAAACAAACAAATGTCCCTGAGCAGGAATCTGCAACAGGTATTAGCTAGCTATTCTAGCAGAAACAAGCATTCAGCCATATATATATATATATATATATATATATATATATATATGTGTGTGTGTGTGTGTGTGTGTGTGTGAATGAGCCATATTATTTGTTCCAAAGTTTTAGTTTGTTGTACAAGGATTCTACTGCTGATAGTAATCTGGTATGTCCCTTTGTGACGTCGGCAATCAAGGTTCTCCACAGCTTCTTATCCTTTGTAGCCCTTCATAAGTTTTGTCTTTTCACAATCACTCCATGTCCCTGCAGTCCACAATGTTCATAGCAGAGATAACAGCATGAAGCAGGGTGAAGTCCATTAGGATTAACTCCTCATCCAGTAAGGAAAGACATGCCCAACTGCTGATAATACTAATGTTTATGTCTAAAAGTCTAACACATTGTGTTCACTATTGAATATACTGAAATTCTGCCTTGAAATCCATGGTTTAATGTTATATAAGTCTAAGAATATACAAGACTAAATCTTTTACAAATAGAGTTATTACTTATTCACTTCTGAATTTTATTTAGATCAGCATTAAGGCTTATGGTTTTAGGAATTTGGAACATTGCTATTCTTGCAAAGATTTTACAATCCCTGATCTTTCCCCCACTCAGGTGCAGTGCTTCTATAACTTGCTATTATCTGGTTTTCCAGTATGTGCATATCTTAAGATAATCTGTGTCAACCTTGTCAATATCAGAGTCAATTACTGCTATTCTTTGAGGCCTGAATCTGCACCTAGTCATGATGAGATTAACTTTCAGTTCAACTTTCTGATACACCTGGCTCTTTTGATGCTATAGTGTGAAAGTGAGTTTAAAGTCTAGTTCAGTATATATTGGGGTCACCACAGATCAACTTCTTAGAATAAAGGTTTCTTATTAATATTCAATTCAAATCTCTGGTATTTGCTGGTACATACTACAATGGTAACCAGGGCTCTTGCAAGAGTCTTGTGCCCATTCCCCACTATTATATTTCTATTTTCATAAAGGTAGTATTCATATAAAAATGAACATTTTTTATTGTAACTAATTATGTACAATAATGGATCATATATGCAATATAGGTAAACAATTCAACTAGAAAAATTGAAAGTAAATACAATGGATCTAAGTAGAAATTAGAGATGTGTCATAATAGATTGACAATGTTTTGCAGCAATTTTTAACATCAACTTGAGATTTTTCTTGTTAAAAGTTGAATGATTTAACATTGTGGATAAAATTCCTTATTTTTTTTTTATCTATTGTGTTTTTGTTTTTTTTAGATTTAGCATGAGCAAAACAAATTTGCAGATTTGAAAAAAAAAAAAAAAAAAAAAAGACACCAAAATCTGCAGAACACTTTCACATTTAATTAGTTAGTTGTGTATAGTTTAATTTATAACATATATAAATGTAAGTAGAAAAAGCAAATGTTGATAAAATAGTGAGGGTCACAGAGCACTGCCTGTAGCTCCAATCAGGCTCGCTGCCAGATCAGAGATTAGTGGGTAGTACATACCAGCCCTGATAGTAACATCCATGGAAGGGGGAAAAAAAAAAAAATTAAAAAATTAATAGAGAATACTGTGAAATTGCTCAGGATCTGAGTAAATCTGCTGACACTCAATTGTGAGTGATAACCGCTAGACAATTAATAGGAACAGATAAATGCTAAGAAATAAAGATTATAGTCAGTAGTCTACTTTTAAGAAATAGATTTCCTTTTCAAAATAGTGATTCTATTTCAATAATATATATAAAAAAAAGCTAAAATAAAATATTTTGACTTAATTTTTAGCAGGAATCTGAAAATTAAGCAACGTTCATTTTTTTTTTTTTTTTTAATGGAAATTTCTGCAGAAAAGAATTTAATAAAATTCTCTAAAGCAAATTTTACGATGACTTAATATATGCTGAGAGAGATTTTCAAAATGTGATGAAAATAAATCTAAAAATAATTTAATTAGTTTTATCTATTTTTATTTTTCCTTTCTCTCATAATAACTGGAACCTCGCATTAAAAACTTATAAATGATAAAACACAATGTGACATAATGGAGTTTTACAAATAAATAAAAAGTATTTGTTCCCTGAGGTATGAGGGGAAAAAAATCTAGGAAAATGGATCAAAATTTCATTAACAGGGGAAAACAACTAAATAACTTAACTAACCAAATCACCTGACTTTGCCCAAGGCTAATATCCATTTTGAATTGTTACTCAATCAGTGAGGGGTCTCTATAGCATCGGAGTAAGCCTGCCTGACATTGGCACCATTGTACACTCAAATTCAAACTAAGTCACAATCTATGTTTAGCAAGAATCCACACCCAATTTAGACTACTTTTATTAATTCTAGACAAGTTTCTGTTTTAATTTTGCAACACTCAAATCATTTTGCATTCTACAGCTCTTAAGCAATGTAGATTAGAAACAAAGAAGTTGCTTCTGATGAGATTTGAATTTGCAATCTATCCCCGAGAGCCTGTCTGACATGAACAGAGCCTTACTGAGTAGGCATCAGCAGTATATTAAAAGACATTTAAATATAGCAACTTATTCTGTTTATTCCCGACCATATTGTTTCCTCCCCATTCTCCATATAAAAAATAAGATTTTTTTTTTCAGTTGGGTTGACTGTTTTTTTATAGCTTATCAACCTTTTGCAGGTTATTTAAAGCTAGTAAATATTTTTAGATTCTAAGAAGTTTTGAGATATAATAATGATTTATTGATACAAGTGCTACAAATTAACCCCTAACTGGAATTCATACCTTTCCCGAGGTTTTACTTGTGTGTAAATGAATAGAACTAGACAGGAATTGGAACTCTGCTCCCCAATTTCCACTTCTAAGCCATTATCCACTACACCACCCACACATCCAAGCTTACAGCACTTGGTAGTCTCAAGGAGTAATACATTTTGGTAATGACTCAACATTGCTTAACTTTGGTGATCGTATAAGAACTAGTATTTCAACATATGGCTAAAAGTTAATTTTAGTTGGAACTTTTTAGCTGAGGAATTATCTTTGCTATCTGGATCAATATTTTTTTTTTAATCATTTGAAGCATGAAAATGCCACTAGCATGCAAGGGGTTACTTGGAGTGAAAGAATGAAAAAATTTTGGTTAGAAAAGATGGGGAGAAAGAACAATAAAAGAACAGGGTTCAGGGAGACAGAAGATGATGATTGACATTGCAGTTCTTGAGGATTGTATGTAGCAGGGAAGCAATAAATTGGAATGGAGTTCCACAGGCATGAATTGCGAGTGAAGAATTTACTGGAATAGAACATACAGTTGCATCTAAGCTAGTTTAACAGCAAAACAGTGAGACCTAGTTGCCAATCTAGTAGCATGTTTAAATTCATGCAATTGATGGACCAGGGAGGAAAGCTTATCACAACAATTGCCACGAAAATATTTGTAGAAAAGAGAGACAGAGAGAAGCTACATCGTGATATTGGGAAAAGGACTGAAATCAAAATGCCAGATCAGAATTGATTACATTACAAACTTTTCTTTGAATTTTCACAAGAATCTGAAGTTATATAGTTGGAGCACCAGACCAGATAAGGCAGCAGCAGTATTCAATGCATGAATGGTAGATTTATAAATGCGCAAGATGCATTCTGATGAGAAAAATTGTCTAGTACAACACAGTGAACCAACTTTCCTAGCAGCAGACCTAGCAATTGATTTAATATAACCATTCCACTTCATGTCAGTGGAAAACTTGAGCCCAAGAATGTGCAAA